TATGCATAACGTTATACGCTCAACATTAAAAATGACTCGCAATAAATGTCAAAAATGGATTTTCTTCTATGACGTCAAACGACGACAGAGAGGTCATACACGTATAATGATAAGGGGGCATAACTCCGTTATGCTTAACACTAGGTCAATGTAACTCAGATCACATGGAGAGAATTTGTTGTGGATACGGACGCTATATTTTCGTTATTTTTTGTTCACGGTGAACCAAACTATTCCAATTCAAAGTTCCCCAATGTGAGCGGATACGCTTTGGTAGTTTCACAATTTATAAGAAAAGATGACAACGTACTACATGTGAAAGCACGTAATAGCGATTTGGATGGCCCTATCCGATATATAAGTTAGTTCTTAGATTCCCATATTCTCCTGTTTGTGTAGATGTATTTTGACTAATTTTGCATCGTTATTACCAGAGTACTAGCCATATCTTCAAATGTAATGAAATTGCTGAAAATAATACAACATTTTAGTTGACGTCATTGCTTGTTTTATGCATTTTGCGACGTCGGAAAAAGACGACATTGGTATGCTGATTAGTATATATCTCACCTAATTTCCATTAATTGTATAAAAGGTCTCGGCTTCTATGTCAGAATTTAACACTCTTTAGACAAAACATAAAATGACTGATTTTTCCATTTAAATAGTGTCCTGAATATATCAACAATTAGACGGTTTGACTGTGTATCTTATTGTGAGCAACACGCGCACCTGTTTGGCATCAATTTAACGTAAATGAAAAATAATATTTCACAACACCCGAATATTTTGTTTAGGATAAGAATTTTCTTTGTTTATGATTATGTAGCTATTTCTCTTCATAAGTATGCAATGAAAGATGCAAAAGATAACTTTTTATATATGGAACTATATATTAGAATATGGATGTAAGATTTGTCCAAATTAAGACATGACATGGTTTATATATTTTAAACAATTTTCGTATAAATATAGTTAGAGTTTGATATCCTGTCATCACAATATTTTTAATCGAATATGAATTGATTATATTATCGAAAACAATGATAGTGAATCATAAAACGTTTCCGACAAACGCGCACCTGGCCAATCAATATACATCATTGTTTTGTCTATAAAAAGAGACAATAAATGCAATGAACAAGACAATTCATTTAAATATGTGTGCATATCATTTCATAATATATATAAATCATTTTCATTAATATTATCAGTTTTACTTATAAGTTTGAATTAAATCGCTTTTCATTAACCTGTTCATATGAAAATGCAATATTAGTCCAAATGCATTGAATATTGTACATCATAGGAATTAAAGCAGTTGCAGTTATGGCTACGTTTGATCTTCTAACACTTGTGTAAAGCTTTAGAATATGGTGTACTGCACTAAATGTGTCAAATTCTTATGTAAATATTTTTCAAACAATCAAAACTTTCAAGGAATAAAACACCCTATATGCACGTATGATATGATATTGAACAAGGCTAAATGTAGATGCTGAAGTCAGTTTCATGAAAAAGTATGAACTATAAGCAAAATATACATCATAAGACTGGCAGTGTAATCGAAAGGATTGGGCGATTGTGTTTGCTCTTGTACAACCGACCTTCACCTCAAAGAAATTGCCTAATATGTAGAACAATGTTGACGTATGACATCACTACCGCTGACCGATTTGTAACAAAATGGCTGCTTTGCTGACAAGGGTTCAGAGGATTTTGCGAGGACCCTTCCATTGATTCAGAGATCGTTTGTACATAAATATGAGATGTAAGTAATCAGAATGATTCTGACTTTCTGTGTATTGTTATATGTTTTTATCGTTTTCATTATAACTAAGAGAAGAAGCCAGAAATGCAGATAATGACCGTTGTCGTTCTGCGTGATTTTGCGTCAGTCATGGCGTCACGCTGCACGGAAACTTTGACAATTTCTTATGAATTATCAAATCATTGCATTGTATCTATTTATAATTTCCTATTTCTTGCTACGATACTCTTCCCATTAATATTACAAAGGTATTGAGCCATTGCATGCAATGAATAGACAGATGAATGTTGGAAAATTTCAGAAAATGCTACCCAGTGTAAAATTCGAAATTTGTCTTTGTTTACATTTCAAACAAGCGCAGTCATTCGAGCAGAGCGTTCGTTTTCACACCCAATATGTTTCGTCTCATTTTATCTAGACAGTTGGTATTGGTGACAAAGACGGTTGCAGTTTGATTCTAAAATGTATAGGGAATTCAGTGATGCATTTTTCGAAGCTGAATATGAAATATACATGATGTAATAGGCGTCTCAATACCGGCCTTCGCGAAACGTGATTTTGTAAACACTATCCTATATGGCGTCAAGCGCTCTACGGCGTTCGTGTTAGTGTATTTTCGAAACATCCCAACCGATTCTAGATTCATCGGTAACGTTTAAGAATATCATGAGCGATTTCATGTAAAACTGAAATCAGTGATCATGAATATGTTATTTTTGAAATCCAATACTCCCAATAATTATCCGATTTTCACATTTCAAAACATGCAGCAAATAACGCTGTGAATCGCTATTTCGTACTGTGTCAAAAATGGCGACATTTTCGATGAAGCCTATTTTGAAAGGTCATTTTCAGCACTTGAGCTTTGTCTAAAATAATAGTGGATGGTATCAAGAAACAGGAAATTTCCCACAGAATTCGAAACTGTGAAGTGTATTTGCGATTATGTACTGTGGACATATGAAGCCTATTTTGAAAGGTCATTTTCAGCATGAGCTTTGTCTAAAATTAGTGGGAAACAGGAAATTTCCCGCAGAATTCGAAACTGTGAAGTGTATTTGTGTGCGTGGGATATTTTGACCTTTTTATTGGACAGTTAAAAATTTGTGATTTTGGGTTGCCACAAGAGGTCAAAGGACATATATAATCCCTCATAGATAATATTTTATAGTATGACAAGAAATTATTGAGAATTTTAGGAATATGTTTAATTGGATTTCTAGTATAAACAACCTTGACCAGCTATCAAGTGCTTGGTTACATTCAAGAGAGACAACTCCGTTAATCCTTTTTCATTAGTTTGTGAAGAGTTATCCCCCTTTGTTTACTTGCTAGCAGACGACATTTTCAGTGATCCTCAGTATGGATGATTTAGAGAAGAGGAAGTTGATTTTAGAGTATTATAACAAGGACATCAGATCAGTTAAAGTGATTTCAAGTAGAACAGGCATCCCTTTGTCCCCTGTTTATCGTGTTTTGAAAAATATTGCAAATGGATATGGCACTGAGCACCGGGGAGGCGCAGGTAGGCCCAGAAAATTGAGTGTCGGTGACAGGAGCTTGATATTCTTGTTTCTAAAAACAAACGAAGGAGTTTAGATATCTTAAGGCTGGATATGATTGATAGAGGAACTGTGGCTGTCTGTAAGGAGACAATTAGAACTGTGCTGCACGCAATGGGTTGGCAGAAAAGTCGAGGAATTCCATCACCGATCATGAAGCCTGAACAAAAAGAGCTAAGGTTGAACTGATGCTTTCAGCATAGAAATTTTAACTGGGACAATGTGATTTTCTCAGATGAAAGTTCTGTGTGGCTGTTTCCTAATACAGTGAAATTTGGACCAAACAAACTGAAAAACCTTTGTATCAGCGCCCAAAGTACATTGCCCCGCCGCATTGAAGCCTGCATTGCTGCTCATGGTGACTGGACAAAATACTAACTGTTCGTCTGTCTTTGAAGCTGGAGTTATGTTCTGCTAATATTCACATTTAATACGTGAGTAATGAGTGAAAAATAAAAAAATACAATCTTGAAATTCTCAATAATTTCTGGTTGTACTGTACCTCTATTGCAACTGGGCGGGAGTCCAAATGCTTGTAAGATGCGGCTAAAGGGATTGGATGGTCAAACTTGTAATGTTTACTTGGGTAACATATGTCATCGTATCTCAGTGGCGTAGATCGATGCTCATGATGTTGATCACTGGATTGTCTGGTCGAGACTCTTATCTATTTACAGCATATAATTTGGCTGGGTTATATACATCTGTAGAAATCAAGTTGCGTCAAATATTTGCTCGTGTTCAAATATTAGAAAAGTAGTTTGAATTCCCCCCCCCCTTACTTATGTGTTTTGTGTCGTAGGTCCAAACATGCCATTGTTGAAATAATCGAAGTCAAGGTTTCATTCATCAAAGAACATATCTGATCAGTTTCATAACAATTTGTTAACGTTTGGTTCGATTCTAAAATTATGCAGACACTATCTCACACTGCAGTGAAAGTCTGACTATATACATACTCGTACTAGTAATAATTCAATCTCTGAAATGAACATATCTCAAAATGTAAGGAGCCCATAGCCTGTCTTCATGTTCAGAACTGTGCATGGTAATCTAGACTTGCCACATTTTCAAGACGAAAGCCTTGCATGGGCTTTCTTGTATTATATATTTCAGGGACTTTATGACAGACTAATAATCGTACATACAAACATACATACGTGTGTGTGTGTGTGCCTGAATGCCTCACTGAAATTGTGCACCCAACATATATTCTCACCTCTATATTGCAGCATGGTCATCGATTTTCCTATTTATTGTTTGTTTTTCATTTGTTTCCCTCGTCCAAAAAACCCCAAATAAATCAATAAATCAATACATCATCGTAAATGTAAAGTTTCCCCTTCAAACCGAACGACTTCATATATATAAATTTGTCATTTCACATTGATTACACGTGTACATTGTACTTGGCTTTATCTATTGAATGGTCTGATGTATCTATTTTTAAATTGATCCGTGCGTTTTTCAGACGATTTTCTCGGCTTTGTCAAAAGCTCAGAGTAATAATTTATCTCATTTTGCATTTTGTACCATTCGTTTACCAAAGTATGAAGACATAATTATATGCCACGATTAATTTGGATGGTTTTGCACTGTCTTCGACAACGAGCTCTGGAAAAGAAAGACGATTACGGACGGGGTTACTTCCCTTGACAAGACCTGGCATGGCCGCCGAAGAGATAAAAGCTTGGGGATAAATTGTATGCAGCGATTTTGTGGTGTTTCGCAATTTGAAGAGGATGTAGATCTGGTGTTACAGATACCTTTACAGAAACTGTAATTAGGGATGTGATTTATGAAGCCATTTCATAAATGTGTCGGACTCCAGTAAAGGAAAGGTCGACAAAGCACTCGACGCTTCAAATTTCGCGCACCTGCTTCCACGCTACCCACTGAATTGATTTTTAGTGGTTCGAATTGTTTTGTGAGACCGTATCGGTTCGGCTAAAGGCGTTTATTTCTTACTAGGGTCTTGTTGAAATCAAAAACAATGTTTATTGAAACTCTTGAATTCACTATTCCAATTGATTTGTGTAGTTTATGTGCTACTCTACAGAAGGGAAGCTCCGATATGGAATTCCCGGCTTCCGTCAACTCTTACGGCACAACACAAGATGCAAACATTTCGGTTCTTGTAAAATCAAATAAATTGACTTTCAAAGTTGATGGCGTGTCATCAGGTGCAAGTGTGATATCAAAAAGTGAATGCAAAACATTGAAACTATCAGTCTTTGATGTAGATAGATCACTGATGCCGCAGGAAAGCACAGACTTTGATCTAAATTCTAGCAGTGTGGATCATTCATTACCAACTGTAAACCCAGGCAAAAGAACTCATGAACAGTCTGTTACAATGCCAGTGCAAGCAAAATCAAGTAGAAATTCATTTCATGACTCTCCGAAGAGGACAAAAACCAAATCTCCAAACCCCCGTCGAGGGTTCAGCTTTCAGAACAGTCAACATTCGTCCAACAACATAAGACCACTCGGTAATGTTACAGTTAAAACAGAGCCAGGAGAACCTGACTTGATAGAAATCGAGCCTCCTCCACAGACTGCTGATGGTGTCAAGAAAGAAGTTCCATACATGCAAATAGACTTTTCATCAGATGTACCTCACACGCAAACGTCCCAATCAGCTTTAGATCGACTTTCTCATACACAGCCCACTCATTCACCCGGTTCTTCATCCTCATCGTACCAACAAAATGTTCCACATGTGCCAGATTACACCAAACCCAGTACTAGTCAAGCAGGATATAGTGACCAAAATGCAGATGACTTTTTAGTATTCCAGGATGAAAACGACGATGGCGATGACAACGAAGTTGATTTCAGCAATGACGGTAACTATACTTTTGGTGATTATTTCCAGAGATGTCATATGAATTTTGGACCAAGGCAAAAAACATGCACAAAAATAGTTGAAAGATTTGCTTTGACAGGGTTTCTATTAACCCAAATCACATCTATTGTTCACTATGAAACAGTATCTCACCCTTGGATTATTCCACCATGCTTCGATATAGCCTCTAGAATTGACCACAGCAATTTGTACATATTTATTTTCTGTTCATTGTTTGCATGGTTAATACTTCCAAATCTTGTATACACTACGTGCCTCCATCACCTATGAATATGTAAAAACCTCTTTGACATAAAGGTAAGAGTTCCGACCGTAACCCCCGCTTGAAATGTATTCTATTTATTAGGATTATTTCGAGGGTTTAGGGTTAGGTTTGGGGTTAGATTTTAGGGTTTAGGTTTAGGTATAGACTGTTTATAAAAAAAACATAGGCGTATATTCTTAGTCATATAATGATTAAAAAAATACGGGGGATACGGGCGGAAATCTTTCCGACATAAAAACTGTATTTTTATTATGAAAATATACCCATGTTAGAATTGGTCTTCAGGTGCCTATAAACTTTAAGCTTACTTTAAAATACACAAAGTTAGGACTTAAAACATGGGCAGCTTCCAAATCATGTTCAGGATGCTTTCTTGTTAGTAATCCATATGTCACTACTCAACAGTGACGTGCAATAAGTTCATTTCTTTCAGCTGTTTTGTGCAGTTTTGCACAGTGTCTTGTCAATAATCAGTCAATATTTAGTTAACAATTATGGATCTCTATGATCTGTATCGTCAGCCAGCCCTGTCTCTGGTACAAACATGCCTTATAGTTGTTTCTCTACACATTGATGAAGTGTCGGGCAATGGCGGGGATCACACGGTATTCATCTGGGAAGAGGGTTTGTATGTTGTTGTTTTTTAAAGCCACACTCACCAATATTCCAGCTATATGGCAGCAATCTGTAAATAGTCTAGTCTGGACCAGGCAATCGAGGGATTTACATCATGTGCCTCGATCTTAGCAATTGTTAGTCGGGCCCTGTGCGTCGGGCCTTGGTCGGGCCCTGTTAGTCGGGCCTTGGTCGGGCCCTGTTAGTCGGCCTTTTATGACAAGCATGGGCTCCTCAAGACCAGTTCTAACCTGGACCTTCACAGGTTTGTCGGGAGAAGGACTCATTTGACATCTACTTATTATAATCATTTCATTGGTTTGGTCCCAAGAAATGCACATCTGTTATACACTTCCAAGCAGCTCTATTGGATGAGGATGGAATTTAGTGTATGCGATTCTTTTAAGCACTGACATATTTTCTGAGAATTTCTGAAAATATTCAGGTGTATGATGATCCTGAAAAGCTCTTGCTTTCTACATGTTCCAAAAGTCAGAAAACACGATAAAATTGAGTACAACTGTATAAGACGTAGATTACGTAGTGAAGTGATTAGGAGTAACAGGACACATAGACATACAGCTTCAATAAATGAGTATAGAAATGGCTACAAATGATAAACTTCGGCACCTCGTCTGTCTGCCCTTCCGCCCATCCGTAATCATTTTGTTTCCGGAGCATAGCTCAAATACCATTCAATATTTTTCAACAAACATTGGTAGATATATTAAACAGAACCTAAAGTGGTGCCTTTTGCTATTTACAAATATATGAGGCAGATCCCAAAGTGGTGCCTTTTGCTGTTTGCGGATTTTTGTCATTTTAATTTTTCCCGGTTTCCATTCGGATGTAGTTTTAAAAAAAATCAAGTTTGACTTTAAGTAACTGTCAGATGATTTGTTCTTTCAAATATGTTGGGGCCGGGGGGGGATTTGTCATCTTGTGATGTCTCTTGTTAACATAGTTAGCAGACAAAGTGAAACATATTCACAGAATCACACAGTTATTTCAAGGGTAAAGACAAATAGTCAATCATTATTCACGTACTTAAACGTCACAGACCTATAGTAATCTCGCCTTGAATAGTTGGAAACTGCAGATGCGGTGTCAAGCAATAATCATTCATTACTATAGCACATATACCGATGTTACTCACAATGTTAACTGTTACTTTGGATCTGTATAAGAATGTGTGGTGGATATGCATGGACATATTGTGTTGTTAAATTATATGGACTTTTATCAGAATTACACAATATTTGGATCATTAAAATAGTAAGTGACAAATAGTACCTGCAGACATTGAGTAATATGGCTCAACCAACTCATATAGTCTTACATGTATTAACGTAACGTTGAATATACATCAGTCGTTTGCATTTGATTTGACTAAAGACGTTCATGGTTTCTATTTTGAAACAAATACACAAAGGAAAGAAAAATAATCTACTTATGCCTGATTGTCCAATTTTCAAATGACTGATTTTGTGCGATAATCATCACTGTTTGAACGAACACTTAAATCACTTTCATAATGTTTATAAATAAGGTTTCATATGAGTGTATTAACATCAACGGCTGAAGGACCCCAGAGATCTTATTTGATACAACATTGCCAGTACATTGTCCACAGGTTGGAACAGCTGTTCAGGGATCTGCAGCAGATGTGCTGATGTAGTTGTCTTTTCATGACCACCCGTGAAGGTCCGGGTTAGAATTGGTCTTCAACAACCCATGCTTGTCTTAAGAGGCGACTAACGGGATCGGATGGTCAGACTCGCTGACTTGGTTGACACATGTCCTTGTATCCCAACTGCGCAGATCGATGCTCATGCTGTCAATCACTGGATTATCTGGTTCAGACTCGATTATTTACAGACCGCTGCCATATAGCTGGAATATTGCTGAGTGTAGCGTGAAACAACACTCCATCTAACCTGTTCACGAGCTGTTGATGACATGGTGTATTTACAGTGACAGAATGTAGATTAAATGGACAATGTATAATTAGTGCTGGTTGTAGCTCACAATGACAGAATGTAGATTAAATGGACAATGTATAATTAGTGCTGGTTGTAGCTCACAGTGACAGAATGTAGATTAAATGGACAATGTATAATTAGTGCTGGTTGTAGCTCACAATGACAGAATGTAGATTGAATGGACAATGTATAATTAGTGCTGGTTGTTGCTCACAGTGACAGAATGTAGATTAAATGGACAATGTATAATTAGTGCTGGTTGTAGCTCACAATGACAGAATGTAGATTAAATGGACAATGTATAATTAATGCTGGTTGTAGCTCACAGTGACAGAATGTAGATTAAATGGACAATGTATAATTAGTGCTGGTTGTAGCTCACAATGACAGAATGTAGATTGAATGGACAATGTATAATTAGTGCTGGTTGTTGCTCACAGTGACAGAATGTAGATTAAATGGACAATGTATAATTAGTGCTGGTTGTAGCTCACAATGACAGAATAAATGGAGATTATAATTAGTGCTGGACAATGTATAATTAGTGCTTGTTGTAGCTCACAATGACAGAATGTAGATTGAATGGACAATGTATAATTAGTGCTGGTTGTTGCTCACAATATGCAGATCGATAATCTGAGCTCTGCATTCGCTCATTAATCAATCATAATAGTAAACCCCACCACAAACTCATGTGGGCAAAAGTGGGACATAATCATAATATTGTGCAAACGAAACAGACAACGATTACTACCACCATCAAGACGATCAAGGATACTTCCTGTTGAGACACGCGCGACACGAGTATGTTGTTCACATTGCCGTTTAGAATATTGATCTTCAGCAACCCATGCTTGTCGTAAGAGGCAACTAACGGGATCGGGTGGTCGGGCTCGCTGACTTGGTTGGCACACATCATTGTATCCCAATTGCGCAGATCGATGCTCATGCTGTTGATCACTGGATTGTTTGGTCAAGACTTGATTATTTACAGACGGGCGCCATATGGCTGGAATATTGCTGAGTGCGGCGTTAAGCTAAAGTCACACACTCACACACTCACACACTCACACTCACACACTCACACACTCACACACTCACACTCACACACTCACACACTCACACTCACACACTCACATTGCCATTTTACGAGTAAGGAAACTTATCAGTTGTTATACCTTGATGTTACAAACACAACAAAATGAAACATACTTTCTAAAGTTTACTTTGATGTTTCAGTTTTTATGAATATAAATGAGCTCATCGATAAATGCTGACACAAGCAAGATTGATAAAATGACCGATTATTTGATCAATGGCTCCAGCACTTGTGTTATTTAGGAAATACAATAAGTACTATCTAGATGGCTGCAGATCGTTCAGCACACACTGTCTTACTTGCTGTGGTGTAGAAATAACTGTGTGCACGTTTTACATCAAAGCATGTTCAGAAAGATTACATTGTCCAGTGAACTAGCGTATTGTGGATCTCATTCAGGAGATTGAACACATTGACTTATAAATCAATCAAAATGGCCTCTGAACGCATGAGAAGTCAGCTTTATCTACATTTAGAATCACTGTTGTTGTGAGCTTATGTTCGGACTATTGGTTAAAATACAGGACCAATTCCACACCAATAGAGGCCTCTTGTAATCACTGCTGGTTGTATGAGCTGATCTTTCGAGTCTTGGTTAAAATACCAAATTGTTTTTAAAAAAAACTGTCATGGTCACTCATCACTGTGGATGGTTGGTGCTCTTGCTATCAACCACTGTTTTGTCAACCTTGCCCACAGGCTGCAGTGGTGTGGCTTGAATTTGTTTGGGTTTTTTCTTTTTTACATTTTTTCTGTGTAATGCATATACTGTTAAACATCATCGTAGGAACAAGATAACTTTCTGGATAGGCACCAGTGGATCTTACTGGTGTAACACAATTACTGTTTATATGTGGGTCACAATGGATACTCGAGTCCATGGTGTAGCCTAGTTGTTTATAATAAGTATTTGTCCATCATGCTAAAGACCATGGTTCGATTCCCTACAATGTTTGAAGATGAAGACCAAGGTTCGATTCCCTACAATGTTTGAAGATGAAGACCAAGGTTCTATTCCT